GGTCATCTGCCATAGTAGTTGTCATGATTCCCAGCATCAGACAATGGACTTGGTACATTCTCAAACGTTTCACCGGCATCGTAGTCGGCATCATCAGTGAGTTTTGCCATTCTCCGCTTTAAGGTACTAATTCGTCAAAGAGACGAGTCAAGTCAATCCCTCGACAAACGTTTTGCCGAAAACGGTTACACTATAACTCCTCTTTCTTTCATGGCATAGCTATCTACTCTTTAGCCTCTTATCCCACTGCCGCCCTATCACAACTTCTCACTTGGTTACATTCCACCCGTCAAAATGTGTGCCCTTTTGTGGCAAATCTAGTGTGGCCTCATCACACTTGCTATTTACTCCGACCCATCTCTTTCGATGGGCTGATCCGACTCAGGCCTCCAATCCGGATCTCCTCATTGTCTCGAAGATCCGTTCCTTATCTTTTTGGTTGACCGATTTCACTCGGTTCCAGTCCCAGTGCGCGTTTCACTCCAGGCGCTATTTCTCAAGACCCTAGAAGCAGGTACACTGACGCCTCACTGAGCAGGGCGCCTAAGCTCTGATTCCCAAGCTTGCAGATATCAGGCCTTCCCTTCACGGATCGTCTGCTTGATTAAACCCATGTCACCTGAGCAAGCTGTGGACGCCTATCGCATGCGGCATCTCAAGTGGATTTCTAGTGCATTTTGGCCATAACGCCGAATTTCCGTGACGGTTTGCTTATCCGTCTGCCTCGCCCCCTGACTGCCAGAGCGCCAAAGTTGTACTTGTTTATTCGAAATGGACATCACACACTGACAACGTCTTCGCTTTATTGCCGAAAACCCCTCTCCCCCAAATTCCTCAACGCGATCCATTTTCCTCCGGTTAGCGGTAGATCCTTGATCCAGGTGTCTCGTTTTTGTTATTCTTGCTCTATTCTTGTTTTCCCCGAGTTTGCTTAGGCAGTAGGCAAAGTTATCGCTAACTCTACCTTCCTCCAATCTCTTGTTTATTAGATTTGTATCCCCAAGGATGTCAATGGCCTCCATAATTGTCCGCTTCCTTGTGTTGTCACCGTATGGAGCTTTCCTTTCTGTTGCTTTCGAATTTATCTGTGTGATGTGTTCCGCTAGTTCTAATCTTTCGGTATCCATTTTCCTGCTGAGCCTCTGATGTTCCTTGATACTAATTTTCCTCTCTGTTTCGCCAATATATTTATGATCGCAGGCGCCGGATGATATACACTAAACTCCTGAACAATCAAAATTGTCTATCCTTTCATGTTGCTTTGGTAGATTTGTGAAGTGTTGTTTTCTCCTTCATTCCATTTACTCAATATTGGCCGTAGTTTCTGAGTTAGTTCGCAAGAAGATATGCATATCCACTTTGGTGAGTCCTTCATCGTTCTTCATAGTCCCCGTTCTGCTACCGGCTTTTTACGGCCCGTATGTTTCTTTCTATCCCTTCGAGTGGGTTGCCATTGCCGAGCAATATCCTATTCAATTTGTCCAGCTCCTCGTCCCAGAATTCTTCATCCGTTAAGCGTAGTATTAAGATAATCATGCTCCTCATTATTGCAATATTTAGCCTATTATTGTGATGGGACCGGAAATGGAGTATTATCCCAGCATAGGACTTCTTTCTGAACAATTACCGTTTGAGCATCCCATTGGAGTGAATCACTTCAATGTCCAGGAACGGTAACCGCTCACCTTCGTCTACTTCCATTTTGAATTTAATTTTTTCATCAATTTGATTTACAAACTTAAGAAACTCTTCCAGTTTTTCTCTTCCATTTGACCAAAGTGAGAAATAATCATCCAGGTACCGCATGAGCACGGCCGGTTGTGGTGATGCCATCTTGAGCTTCTCTTCTATTTTGTTCATGTATACGTTAACCAAAAGTGGTGAGAGCGGCGATCCCATGGGAAGTCCAAATATTTGTTCATAAATGTTCCCGTTGAATGTAAAATAGGTTGTCCTTATTGGCAAGTTGGTTAGTCCTGTTAATGACTCCCTCCTGATCTGTTGTGATTCCAGAATATCCTCCTCTCGTTCCAGGATTTCCAGCAGGACCGTTAGCGTATTTTCTCTATAGATATTTGTATACATGGATTTCACATCGAAACTTACCAATAAGTCCGTTTCTTCAAGTGCCATGTTTTTTATTTTTTTTTAAGAAAATTTATATGAATGTTTCACCGTGTCAGATAGCTTCTCATTTAATTTCTTGATTTTAAAACATATAAACTCTGCCAATTTGTGTGTTGCTCCATACGTGTTGTT